TCATGCCGTTGCTGTTCGCACTCACATCCTGTAATTTGACTACCGTCCCATTATTGTAGTGAAGTTTCCCAACAACATGACAGGGTGTGTACTGTGAGGCCTTAGCTCCTCTTTGCAGTGGGAGCAGGGAAATTACAGTTGTGATCGTGTCCACACATACAATGGTGCCACAAGCCTTGGTCTGCACGATCAGTCTCACCGCCGTGTCGCAATACCTGCAAAAAACAGCTTCAAAGAGTCTAGGGGCATGTGACAACTTTGCGATTGCAGATTGATGCTATCAACGCATCAAGACTCCTGGGGTTAGGAAACCAGCCGAGCAGCGCGGCGCAACCCAAGCACCCGAACGAACACGTATGCGCAGCGCCCGACAGGAGCAATGTCGCCAAAAACTAGAATTACTGCTAGATGCGGCCTTGCTGAGCTTGGACACCACTGGCGCCGAACCCTTGGCAATCACGCGCAGTTGCTACCTTTAGTGCATGCGCATGCGCTTCGTGCACGGAGATTCCCACGTGCTGTCAAAGGTGAGATGTGCACCTGCATTGCTGCGCTTGGGCAGCGGCGGGTTGACTTCCCGCTGCCCAAAGTCAAAATCTGTGGCGTTGAGCATCCACTCCTCCAATTCCTCACGAACACCATCACTGCTGCTGCCGCAGGCGTTGCCGCTGCCTGCAATGCTGCCACAAAAAGCGTCGCTGCTGCTGCAAGCACGATTGCCTAGGTCCGGCAGCTGGCCGAGCGTTGCCAGGACATTATCCGCAGCGTCATCGTCAGTCATGTCTGCAAGCGATATCATGCCGAAGTCTGCACACGGCTCGCCCCTGAGCTCCTCCTCTACAAGCTCCACCTGCGGTAGCGTCTGGGCGCTGCAGGGTGCCAAGCCACACTCCGCTGCTGCTGTGGCAGGGAAGGACCACGCGAGGTTCACAGAAGCAAAGTCCCTTGCCATCAGGTCGTCGAAAGCCGGTGTGTCGCCGTCTGCACATGGAGACCCTGACGACTCCTCCAGCTGCGGCTGCCTCGCCATTCCCGCTGCCAATCCCATGTCTGCGCAGGGTTTGACCCGCGGCCGCGAGTGTGCACCCGTCTCCACAAAAGAGGCGACGTGCGTGGGGGGCATTGCAGCGTCAGCCGCCCCTGCTACTGTGAACCCCAACGCCACATGCTGCTCCTGCTGCTCTCGCCCGTGCTGCTGCTGCTGCTGCTGCTGCTGCTGCTGCTGCTGCTGCTGCTGCTGCTGCTGCTGCTGCTGCTGCTGCGGCAGCGGCGGCTGTGAATATGACGTTTTGCTGGCTACCAGTTGCGGCCCCGACTGTGTAGACAATGGGAGTAGCTGCGGCTGCGACGTCAGCAACGGCTGTGATGGGGGTGGCTGCGATGGCAGCGGCGGCTGCGATGGCAAGGCCTGCAGCACTGCTTGCGCACGTGGCGATGGCGAGGGCGTGGCCTCCATGTACGGCGGTGCCTCTGCCTGTGCCTGCTGCTGTGTCAGCTGCGGTACTTGCTGCTGCGCAAGAACCTGCGCCTGCCATTGCGATTGTCGCTTCGCTGGCGCCTGCTGCTGAGCCGGAGTATAGTGCTGTGCCGGCATGCGCTGCTGCTGCTTGCACTGGTGCTCCTGGCGCTGCTGCTGTAACTGCTGCTGCTGCTGCTGCGGCTGCTGCTGCTGCTGTTGCGGCCGCTGCTGCTGCTGCTGCTGCTGCTGCTGCTGCTGCTGCTGCTGCTGCTGCTGCTGCTGCTGCTGCGCGGCGAGCATCAGACCTGGCTCCTCCACAGCCGCCGCCATGGCTTGGATTGCCTGCACCACTTTCTCCTTATGCTGCAAGTACCGCTGCTTGGTTGCTTCCACAAGTGGCGACCAACCGGTGTGCGGGTGGATGAACTTGAACCTGAATGAGCCGGGCTTGTCAGAGTTGAACAGAATGCAAGCCTTGAGCTCGGACGTCATGGTGCGGAAGTCCACGTTGCGGCGCTCGGGGTCATTCTTGGACTGCATGGACTCCAGCTCTTCGTCTGAGGCCTCGAGCAGGCTCTTCATCTGGTTTTGACAAGGTGTGGCATGCGCAAAATTCGTTTCATGACATGCACAGTGAAGAATCAACTTGATGCTGTCAATTCTTGGATTGAACGAGGATGTTGACCGCAGGATCTTGCAACAATCCCAATCCTAATCCTAATCCAAGCTCAGCTCGTAGCTCCCGCCCAAGCAAGAATGGATCCCAGGCACGGCGTGCTGTCCAACTAATATATTCCAAACGCTTACCTGCAATGGCCATGATGCCAATGCGTCCGGCGCGGGGACCTCCTGCATGGCGTCGTCTACGTTGCCAACGTGGAACCAGTTGTGCTCCGGGGTGAGGGCCCAGGTGCGCCTTTGCCCACTGCTCCCGGGTAAGTAAGCAGCTGTGAACCAGATCGTGCCCTGAGCAATGACAATCACACGGGAGGAGGTGGGGCAATGGTCTTTAGTACGTGCACAAGGTTGCAAGCGATTGACCCCCAATGTTGGGCATCATGAGGGGGCCCGCGTGCCGAGCACCATCAACAACTGTCAACCCCACCCCACGACCGATCAAGGCATGCCACTTGCAAGTAACGTGACTTGCAAGGTGCACCTTGATCAAGGTGCGCCTTAATCTGGGGGTAGACTACCGTATGCAAACCAAAACATGACCCCTGCTTGGATGGCATTGCTAAGAAATATTCAAGGCATTCCCCACACAAATGCTCATCTTTGAACACGAGCCCCATGACGTAGAAGCCACCTGAACCAAGCTCGACCGCGATGCAGCCGTGGGGCTCGCCTTGTCCCTGAGGCTGCTGCAGCGCCACTTGTCGCATGACCACGCAGCGTCTGAGGGCCAGCTTGGGGTCGGGGTGCTCGAGTTTGGCCTTGTGAAGCTTGGCCCACTCGCCAATCGGCATGCAAGTGCCGTCCTGGAGCTCGACCTTGATCGACGCCCGCCATTTTGCAGTCGAGCGAAGCCCTGTCACACAGGGTATGCATCCAGAAAATTGGTTTTTTTGTGGGTGGATGGGTGAGGAATGTGTCGTGTGCCCCTCACGTATGTCATCACAACGCGTAGCGCAAGGTGAGCAGCCCGTTAGAGGGGCCAAGCGGGGGGCCAAGGGTGGCAAAACAGCAAACAACATGGCTACACTACATAGACTTCATTACAACACCCCCACCCATTGCCCCCACTGCGACGGCCTGGGCCATGACGAAACGGCTGAACATGCTCTGCTTGATTGCCCCGCATACGCGGACCTGCGGGCCGAGCCGCGCTTTGCGCCCTTGTTTGCAAATCTACCCGCGCTTGCGCGCATGCATCAGCACAAACTGGGGGCCTTCGTGCACGCCTGCTTTGAACGGCGCACGGTAGCCACCTGAATCTCAGTCACGCAACGCTGGTGCTGTACTGTACAATCCCATGAGCCTGGATGGCTCCAGGAGCGGGCAACCGCGGGACGCTGTAACAATCCTAATCCTAATCCACTACATAGACTTGGCGAGCTACCTCCACCCGCTGCCGTGCTACTGTGCGACACGCTGGCGCATTGATTTGGATAGGATTAGGGTAGCTACACGCCTCACGGTGGCCCGCTTTGCGCGTCGCACGCTGGGTGTGGGTTCAAGGCCATCAAATCGACACGGCAATGGATGGGCTGAGAACACGATGTCGGCGCCCGGGCGGTTGGCGGCGGCACTTAGTCACTGCATTTGTGCACACTCACCTGAAATGAACCCTATCTTTGAGCCCTTGCTTTATCTCAAGTAACCACTTCACATCCCCACATGTCACCACACATTATTGCCAATCTCAAATAGATGCCAAAACATGCCAAAACAACCCGCCTCCCTCACACCTGCAAGGGCCTCAAAGTCGTTGGCCGTGAACCACGCCCCGTGCAACACTTGCCTGAAAGAGATTTGAGGTGGCGTGCGTGCGGGCGGTGGGGCGTTTACTTGTTAAATGTGTTTGAGGATGAAATGAACCCGACGACCCTTTCTGCAGATAGGATCAGGATTGTTACCAGATGATTGCACGGTGGTGCTCAATTGCTACAAGAAATGTTGCAATGTCATGTGTGTCCGTCTAGGCTTATTATCTTGCAAGCAACCGTGGGTAAGCACCAGCACCGGCACCACCATTTCATTGATGACCAACCGCGACGTCACCCGTCACGCTCTCGCGGGCCAGTCAGCATCCAATCTACCTCACTCGGTCTGACCATTCTATTCAACGTGCATGCAACCCACGGCATCCTCAGCATACCTGGTTGACAGCTCAAACAGCCCGTGCTTGCCGTTGCACACTACCCGCAGCATGTCTGGTGTCAGGCATGCGGCGGGAAGTGGGCGCCCGGCCATCGTGCTGGCAGGGTCACGATTGACAACTGTCGGCCACGTCAGCAAGCCTGCGGTATCGCGTGAGCAACTGTTCTTGAGAGAAAGGACTCGCTGAGCCGAAGATTCGCGATAGAGGCCCAGCCACGCGGAGGGGAGATCGCACACCCGGCCGCAGCTCCCCGATTCCCCGGGGACCAACGCGTCAAAACGATGTTCGTGGGTTTACACTGCGCGCATGACAACATCAAACGTGAGGCTGGACGCGTGCGGCCTGGGGGTCACCTGCTGCGATAGCCGCGCACAGCCCGTCTAGGCCGAATCAGCCCTTGCACACGCCGAGGTGTAGGTGTTGGTGTGTAAGAGGCGTTCCGGAAAACCTGCTTGGGCACGGGTAGGTGGGAAGGATCCCTTGTGACCATCGAGCCCAAAAGCCTAACAAGCCTCAGTGCTGGCAGGCACTCAACCCATGGGGCCACTCATGCTGCCGCGAAGGCCCCTGCTTTGCCAGGTGCTGCCGCGAAGGCCCCTGCTTTGCCAGGTGTTCACATGACTATGGGAGCATGAAGGGCACACAGGAGGCGCTGCCAGGCTGCGGTGTCAGTGTTGAACCCACAGGGCACGAAAGGGGCAATTGCATGGCGTGCGCCTGCATGCCAACTAGGCTGTGCAGGTGGTGCATGCTGCGCCTGCGTGGATATGCACAACAAAAAGGCCAGAGCAAGTTTGCAGGGGGCATGGTGGCATGGTGGCTGAGGTAGTTTCACACAAACCTTGGGAAATCAGACCTCGTTGCGACACGGAAAACTCCGTGTGGCGCCGTTGCACATGATACAACTTAACACTCACATGAAATATGGGTATTGATATAGGAAGCAAATGAGCACATGTGCACCACGAGACCAAGAGTCGCTGGGCCACAAGACGCGCATTTGGAAGTGAGGTGTTGTGAGTGCTGCAACGAAATTTATTCCGTGAGAAAAGACCCTCCGCCTTCCGTCCGTTCAAATTCCTTACAGCGGTGAGGCTCTAAGGCAGTGCTGCCCCCATCGTTCGATCCACTACACATTACTTGTTTACTTACACATCGTCTGATAGTCGTTGATGCGCCAGATCACAATTTGGGCTTGCAAGGCCTTTCCGAAGGCGTTGTTTTGGCCATTCCAGTCGTTTCTGCTCGTCGGTTATTTCTGCACAAACCGTGCGCATGCTAGAGGCCGTGACTCCGAGTTCGTTTTTGTCATGATTGCGTCATAATCTGCACCCGTGCCGTTTGCGAGCAATCAACCGCCCGTTCGCGTTGCTTTAAACAACATAAATCTAATCGCATTGGTTGGCCAGCGATACGCCGATATGCCCTTGGGTGCCTCCCGCCGCCTGCCATCAGCAGTGAGTGCAAAGAGTCAAAGGGCTGGTGCAATAATGCGGAGACACCTCCGGATGACACTAAGTAGTGTTATCATGCCTGTGAGCGGTACAGCCGCCTACGACTCTAAAGGTAGTTGACCTATACTTCGGCTTGGTTTACTGACGCAAGCCGTGTCTGCAGAAAGAGGCGTTGGGTTACACGGTGGGGGATCGGGTGACGCTGCGGTGTAACTCCGGGTGCGACGGCGGGTGGAG